ACGATTAGACGAGGGCATGTTCCAAATACTCTACGCAACATATGTCAGGCCTCATCTAGAATACTGCATACAAGCGACGAGTCCATGCTTCAAAAAGGAGGCACATATTCTGGAAAGAGTACAGAGAGTAGGAACAAAATTAGTTAGTGGTATCTCACACCTTCCTTATGATAAGAGGATGGAGCATTTAAATCTCTTTCCATTATCATACCGAAGGAAGAGAGGCGACTTAATTTTAGCATACCGTATACTTAAGGGTGATTTAAGAACTGACCTTTCCAACCTTTTCTCCCCTTCTAGGATACATTTACGGGGTCACCGCAAAAAGGTGCTCAAACCAAGGACGATTAAAATACGTGCAGAATTTAGATTCTCTCACAGAGTGGTCAACGATTGGAACTCCTTACCTGATTCAGTAGTATCAGCTCCATCGGTGAACGCTTTCAAAGAGAAGTTAGATCTCTGCAGAGATATACTTTGCAAGGATTAACACAGGCCACAAGAGCCTTCTATCCTTATCATCTGAATCTGAAAGGTGCAGCTTCTACATAGAGTAAACGATTTGTGTAAATGGCATTACCCTCCAACTATCCTATATTCCTCATTACACCGATATTTTGATACAGTCCACATGAAACACCAATCATTGCAACCAATATGCTAAAAGTGTGTCGCAGTCAGATCACATAACGCGGACACCAACATAACTAGCCAAAAAGTCGGAATTTCCATCAATCTAGATAACATATAACAGAATTTTATTAAAAATTATTGGCAAAAACATTTCCAAGCGCAACTTCAACAGTACGTGATAAATAAGTCCAGCCCGTAAAAACGATATTGGATATTGGAACATATTGAGCGCAGTAATTTCCAAGCATTGCGACTCCTCAAGGTTATTTCAGACACTAATTGTTTTAGTCCTTAAGTATAGTGTGGTTGTGCAGACGTTGCAGTTCATGTTTTCAGCCTAAACACACTGCTGTTAGTCGCTACTTTTAATTTAGGAGTTTAAAGCAAATATAGTATCCACTCGAGTGGTATGAATCACAATGTTACTAAACAATTTAAGCTGCATATTGCTTCTATAGCATGTTTATCCATTTGTGTTAGAGTGCCTTGAGTTCAAGCATTTCTCAGTCTTCCGTGAGAATTTTTTTTATTTCGATTTATCGAAGACCCTATTATCCATCTTTATTACTTTGCAACTCCCTATTTAACATTAATATAGATTCAGGGGAAGTGCCGATAATTTTACGTACACCCTACAAATCTCCACGTTAATCTGACGCAAAACTATCTGTAAATTGCTCCATTACTTTTCTTTGGGCACCATTCATATGGTTAATATATATTTGTGGTCATAATAAAAAGTTAATAATGTGTAGATTTACTTGAACTTGTTACCCTTGCTTTCCTTCGATTTCGCTTTTCGAGTAGGTCAGAAGACAAAATGCAAGCCACAGATTGAATGGCTTTTATTAGTGGGGTATGACTTCTGTTAAGTTGGCGCGTAAACATGTCTGCAACTTAACTGTACAAATAGTAAAGCGCATGGATAAAAAGGTACAGTGGAGAACTAAACACTGCATTAATGTGATCGCAATAAAAACTTGCAAGCTGTTTGTTTACACTTATATTGATAGGTCACTGGCAGACTATTCCTCATGACTACTTTTATGATCTGTTAACATTATAATGAAAATGGGTGGTCAACAGTTTTTTTTCTGAAAATTCCTTTACTGTTCATTGCTTCTGGTTTGTCCCACAAAAAGTATTTTGTTGTAGTAAAGCAAGCATATTGTAGTGAAATTAGTCGCTAATACAAATTTTCCCATTTTTAACTTCAATAATGAGTGATTTGTATAAGTCAATGGTGTTTCGTAAATCTCTCAGCTTTGTGCCGTTATCTTTAAGATATCGTATAAAAGAAGGTGTATAAAAGTGAGAAAAGGTTAAAAGTTGTCATCTGGGGTAGTTTTTGAGTTTTTAATAAACACCTTAGGCCTTTGATCATTTGTATTCGTCAGATTCTCATGTACTTAATCTGGGCCTGCAGTCTGTGTATAATAATGATTTATTTAGGTTAACCTAACCTTCTGACAAATAAGTTATTTAGTTGAATTTCCTATCATACACCAGGAAATCCTCTAGGTTTGAACAATGAAAATGGTAGTCTGGGAAGAGTTTTAAAAGCCATTCACTCAAGAGCCTACTTGTACTCGTCTCGCTAACTACCTACAGTCTAGAGGAAAATTTTAGTTGCAGATTAGTATGTACCTGGGCCACTAAAGTTTGTTGTCATTCCTTATAAGATGTTGTAAATAAGCTGCTTTTGTCGATCATGATTGTTAAACGAAGGTAATAGTACTTCATACAATTTTAATAGCTGCTAAATATCTTCATTAGAATTGATATTTTGAACATTCTTCGGTGAGCTGAAATCACAGCAACATCTGTTTATTTGTCCTCGGTTTTTCTGGTAGCAGTCAAACCTAATGAATTATGCCTCAGATTGGTTATATTTTCAAATTGCTAGTGGAAACATCTACTGAGATTGAATTCGCCATAAAATTTAGTAGTAATTGTGTTGAGTGCAACTGGCTTCTTATTGTAATTCAGTTTAGCTTTTGGGCTGATAATTTCTACTCCGGTGCTTCAGTCAGTTTTAGTTGAGGTGCTTTTTATTGGTTGATAATAAATGCGTCGATGGTTCAGTAGTAAAATGCTTTCCAGCCACACAGGCGTGCGGGTCCGATTCTTGGTTGACACATTCCCAAACCTGACCTGGACGGTAGATAGCCTAGAAGAGAGAGTAGGTTAAGCATGAGGCTACCAACCTCTCCCTTGAAAACAACGCTACTACTGAAACTTTAAAACCTAAAACACTATGTTCCAATTAAAGCATAAGGAATGAGAAAAATTAATAAAAGACCGTTGTTTTGCCTTCACAGCGGTCATATATCTTTGTAGACAGAAATTACTGGAAATCAGTATACAACAAATAGATTGTCACTCATCATCAATTATGTCGCCTCAGCAATAGTTTTGGTTTCCCTGTTTGTCTAAAATCAACGACTATACTCATTTCAAATTGTTAATTTGTCTCTCTTTAGCCAAATTGAGGTTTTGTCTGTTTTCAACATAGAACTTTGCACTTATGTGCAACAGTTCAAGTCGCCACACTCCATGTAGCACACAAAGCAAGAGAAGAAAGTAGAAGAAATGTAAAATAGAGACAGTAAACAGAGATATGAGATAAAAGGAATAGAAATAACAAAGAGCGATATAGTTTCATTGGGAATTATAAATCACAAGAAGTGGATGCATCTGCGCCAGCCATTGAGAACGATTTTGAGCCATATCACCGATTGTCTCTAGCTATTGGTCTTTACTGTCCGGAGGACCCCAACCAGTCAGGAAGTTTACACCTCCCTCCCTATGAGGCTGGCTTAAACTAATTGTTGTCGATTTCATTGAATGAACAAGTCGTTTGATCACCATTAGCTTTTTTCCAGCTTGATCATGTCACCTAACATTGCCCGTCGAGGAAGGCGATGACTAGGCAAACATAACACATGTCCTAACCATCTCAGTCGATGTAGCTTCACAGCCTCGTCGATCGATTTCCCCTCCCTCCTTACCTAGCACTCGACGCCTAACCTCAATATTGCTCACCCTATTATACCACTTCACATGGGAGATAAGACTCAGACACCTATGATTAAAAACAGCTAGCCGGCCTTTTCATGTCTTCCACTCTCAATGGTCAAGTCTCACAGCCAGCCATGAATGAAAACGGAGCGGACTGCTGAGCAGTACACACGCCCTTTGGTTGACAGCCATCCGGATATCACGTCTACGCCAGAGGCGGCGTAAACTGGAATATGCGAAACTAGCCTTCTGTATGCGTGCTGAGATTTCGTCAGCGATCAACGCACTGGCGTTAGCTGATGCAGCTTCCCAAATAAGTGAAGCGGTCAGCGTGCTCTATCACTTCACTCCCTATTTCTAAGCTAGGAATCAGTGTAGTCCATTCCTGTAGCATCATCATCTTACAGTTGACGAGAGTGAATCGCATGCCAAACATTCGTCGATTGCAGCTCAAGGTGTTAAATTGTGGTTTGTTGTTTGGTGCATATGAATGTAGCTGGAAAAGCAAGTTAAGGTAGGCGATTCGATTTACACATTAACGTGGATAGAGACTTCATTCCAATTAAACCCTCCCTCATAAACGACCAGGTACAGTCGAGGGCGGGTAGACTTATGTCTTCCTCTCGAAATGCTCTTATTTGGCCACGAGTTCATAGCATCTACCGGGAAAGACTTGTTCACTGCCTTCATGCAGAAAAGTAATTTCGAATATCTGGCGCTTACGTTCAGACTGGTAGAGAAGCAGGCCTACAGAAGAGAACTGAGCTCCAGAATCCGAAAGGATCAAATGACGTATGAACCTGTTTAGGACACTAGAAACCATGGGAACGCCGTTGCACTACCTTGTGGATCAGACTTCAAGTCAAACACTTTCGGGGGTGGTGATCCCTTAAGACAACCACCTGCTTCAGTCCGGGCATCCCGGTAGTATCCCAGCCCTTACACACGCTATGGGATTGTGGCGCATCTCTTAGTGCACATTATATCGCTAATTTCGTGTTTTAATAGTAGCAAATCATTCATACCCAGGTTTATGTAGTAAGAGGAAAATGTAACTCGCTAGATGAAGTCAAACAAAAAATCCTTTAGACTGAAAATCTACACAACTTTTCCCTTTGATTACCTTAAAACTGCTCATAACAGCCTAACTGATTTATCTTACTTTTTGTGTATCTTCATTATTTCGTGTTATTTTATGTGGTTTCCAGATCATTCCAGTGGTTGTTTTTCAACACCAAGTGGTCCATATGATGCTTTTCATCATCTCTTTACAATGATGTTTGAGCGAAATCCTATGTTGTCCAATTCTGAAGTGACTGCCAACTACTCACCTGAATTAGATTTGGATGCTTACTCCAGATTTACAGGTGGCATGGTCAAGAATGATGTCGCAAATCGACCACTCAGTCCATCCAAACAGGTAATAAACCGATAAAAAGTTTTGATTCCCATATAGGTTAGGTTTCGCCCAAATATCACTGTCGACTCCGTTGATGTTCCAGCTGGAAGATCTTCAATGTATGATTTCTCTGAAGACGGTGTCGATGAGTTGACACACATAACATCAATGTCTTTCGGTAATCCGAGTTCACCAAAGCACTTTCAGTCTACAGAAGCATCTCCATATGATACATCTCTATGGTTGGAAGGTAATTTCGACAAAATGTGTAACCTTTCTGTGGACACTGAATGGAGTCCCCAAATACCTCCTACCAGAATTCTTCATCCCTCAGAACCACCGATCATATTCCACAACCACCATTATCATCGTCTTACAGCACTGTAAATGGTTCTAGGAACTACTCTTCAGACGTCAAAAGTTGGGATGATCAAGTACCTAGGAAACTGCCTAACTATCATCTCAGTCGTTCTGATGATCTTTCTCTGTCGACACTTACCGAAGTAGACTCTGTCGATTTAGACGCTACATACTCTCCTCATAGCCAGTCTGTTGATACTGGTGTAAATCTGTCACAACCAATGTACAAAACAGCAGAAACCTTGAAAAAGAAATCAAAAACCTGTCTTTAAAGATCAATAGTGCTTCAGAAATGGTGAGTGTTTACTAGTTTAGTCACAAAAGGATGATAATAACTAATGGCGAATTGATTTTTAATGTATTACATCTACATGATATTACTCGGCTACTCAAGCGTTAATTTACTTTATAAGAAATTGAGGGATATCAACGGTTGCCCAAGATACTCTGTATACAAACGCGTGTTTATCCTGTAACTCCCAAAGTACTTGTTCTGCTGCGATCAGAAACAATAAATGGATTGTCCAAGATAGGAGATATGTTTCGGGATCAGAAATGCAGAGCGATGGTAATTGCCTCACAACTAGTTAGGGTTCATTTATGAACATCCGAACGTAGCACGATAGCGTTCCAAAGGGGCAAAGTTCAACAATAGCGTCCCAAGGAGTGCGAACGCATGATTGACCTTGAGCCGACCAGTCACAAAAATGAAGTTTGTGCACAAAAGATGACATATATTTACGAGAAAATTCATAAAAACACATCAAATAGGGTATCTTTCTCTGACATAACCTAAAAATACGTCCAAGTTATAATGAGGAGTATCAGTTGCTAAATTAGACTAGTTTCTCTACATGTATTCACCGTGGTGACTGAAGGTGAGCTGTTTTTGTGAATCGTTTATCTCTCTTATCCTCATTTGCAGTCTCCCCCCCAAAAGTCCTCGGTTGAGTTACTATGGTTTGCAGTAAGAGGATTGACGGCTAGTTACCGGGAAAATGTGGATAATAAAACAAATTAAAATAAATAATGCCAACCCTAAATCTACCCCTATTCGCAACCCTAACTTTAATCATAACCCTTATCCAAACCGTAATTCTAACCGTAATGATAATTATAACCCTAATCCAAACCCAATACTTACCTTAGCCGTGATCCTAACCCTAAGGAACTATTAACACGTTGTACAAACAGTACTTAAAAACGTGATCTGAGTGAAATTTGCATTTTAGTTGGTGAAAAGCGTTGATATTTTAGTTATGATAATAACAGATGCCGTTAGCCAATGACTAGTATGCATTCAAGGTTATTGAGACGTTAGCACTCCTGCGATGCTATTGTTGAATTTCGCCCCAAATGGCTTGGATACTTAACCACATACCTTCAGCTTAACAAGTCGACTTAAACAGGGAAGGTCAGCTTCCGGTGTTGCAGGAAGAGTGGATGTAGACTAATAATTTCGCAGGAATTATTTACCGCTAAAACTTTAATTCTATGGGTTCGAACTCCAGCGAGTGAGTACTGCTGAAGAGTCCCAAACTAGATCGAAACATCTGTCCAATACTCCCAGGTTTTCCAGTGGTTCTCCAACTGATGTCAGCTCATAATGAAATCCTCCATGCAATTATCCAAATCTGTTCAGTTCCACTTCGTTTATGATCACTTCATATGTGACTGTTTAAGATGAAGACAACTGAGTGTTAAAAGGCTTAGAATGCTATATTATCAAGGCAGATTCGGAGTACACTTCTGAATGGCTACCCTGTCTGAATATCGTGAACCCAAAGATTGCCTTCCCTCTTCTAATTTCTTAATCCACTCTAAAAGTTAAGTCAGGAAACATTATAACTATATTATTATTCCCTTGGATTTCTATTGAAACATTGGGCTTCAACAGCACATCTTCGGTCGTTTTTAGTTGGCATCACGATTGCCCATAAGCTTATTTCTTGTCTTTACATGATCTCCTCCACATCACTTTCGGACTCTCAACTCGTTGCTTCCCAATCGATGGTCTGGCGCGTGATGTCACTCAACAGTCTCCTCAACATGTGTCGTGTCCATCTTCATTTTCTTCTGCATATTTGTGTGGCAATAGGTTTTTGGTTAACTCATTCCCAGAGTTGCTTGTTACTAATGCCTTCTGTGTGCATCTTATCTTCAGTATGGAGCGAAGTAGGCAGCTGTTTTTAAAAGTCTGCAGTAGTCTGTTGGAAATGCTTTCCGTGACGCGTCAAGTCCCTGAAGCATAGTTCGCACTATAATCTGTTGTCGTGGTATCAAGAAAATAATAAATTTTCTACAGTTTGGTTTGTAAGGGTTAGTTTTATTTTTTATGAGCTGATCACGGATTAAAATCAGTTAGAGAATCATTAAAAAGCAGGGAGTACTGGACAGCTGTTTCATCCTAGTCTGGGAATCATCGGCAGTACGCACCCACTGGGATTCGAACTCAGGACCTTCCGGTTTCCATTCAGCCACTGGGACCCGATTCAATACCTAATGAATCCTAACTTCGCGAATGATTTTATGTGTTTTATATTAAGTTTAAAGTTAAAAAATATTCATTGGTTAACTTCTATACCAATGTTAATATTCGCAATTTTATGTATTCTCTTTTACTGTTGATAATAAATAGCCTACTGATAAGATACGTTTAGAAGCTGAACGTATTGTAAATGAAGCCTGTAGCACTTTGCCGTATGGAAATGATTCAGTCAATCCATTAATTTTAAATCCAGGACTCACTGTAAATATACCAGAGCATGAAATACAGTATACAAATCTTATAGATTTATCAATTGATGAATCAGAAATAGTTCGTCTTGAACGTCAACGAATCGCGGCTCAACGTAAAAAGTTAGAGGCGTGTAGAAAACAAAATGCTAAAGACAAAGTCGTAAGTTGCTTTTCCATATTATTATTATTTGTTTCGTGATATCATAGATTCACTGTTACCATGTCAAATTGTTTCTTTTTCATTCGTTTGTGTTACTAGGGGAACATAAGGCTTCAGTTTTGAGCTTTGGAGTTTCGGTAGCGGTAGGGTTGCTAACCTCACATCCGACCTACTCTCTTTTTCCACGAGACCCGACCGATAGCTGCTACCTTGACGTTGTGGTCGCAATGATCCAACAAGCTGCAGTGGCTGGAACCAATGTCCCTGCAGGTCCCACCATGCCAGGAAGGTTCTTAGGATAGCGATTAGACTAAAAGCAGTTACCGGCATCGTGTAAGCATCTTTCTTACACTATGCTGGGGATCTGTGGGCGAAGTCGTACTGCTGGGGAACAGGGATGTAACAGCAGTGAGGTGTTTCCCTCAGATGACCAACACGCCAGCTATGCTGTCTCTCCACTCCGGAGAGAGGGGGTTAGAAAAGGTTGACCCCAACAACTGTACATCCCAACTTACCCTATGGTGGTCTGTAACCGGTGGTAAGTTTACTAATACGGAACCAATCCCGGAAACCAGTTCATAACCCTCTTTCTGTTTCAGGTACCCGAAGAATCATTCAACTTCCACGGTGTCGGCAGCCGGGAAGTAACAACTGCCCACACACTTCCAAAAGCACACGAAGCCTTCCTGAGCATCATTCTCCTTTTTCCGCGTTTACTACCAGTTAAGCGAGGTTTAGAAATGTGTCGACCGGGAATCAAACCCTGGGAGATGTGCTTAGTTGGTGAGCATTCTACCGTTAGACCACTGATGCGCACACCCATATCAAACTGTGCTTATGTCTGATAGCAAATCACAGTCTTATAGTAATCAAAAGTATATTTTTTTCACTCAGTCTGCTGATCATACTGTCCACACCTGATCGATAGATTTGAACTAAACGGCTACTACATTGAATACTAGTCGATTAAAACAATCCACTTGTCTTTCAATTCTTCAGAGGCCTATTGGTGGCTTTAATAACTTTCACTACAGTAATCTCTGACTCAATCCAAAATTCTATTAAGAGCATGACTTTCGTAAATATTGTGCTATTAATTTAATTTTAGATTTTCCCGTCGATTGATTGGATTGAAGTGCTCGGTCTCAGGTTGACATGTCGGCTTTTTGTGCAGGTGCTTCGACGATTTCTGGGCTTGTAATTAGAATTTAATTGGTTGATGGTAACTATCAATGGAATCCAGGACACGCATTTCGTCCTATTTTGGACTCGTCATCTGGATGTCCCTGCATTCCCCAGTGAGTGATGATGTTCCCACCGAGACTCCAACCCAGTGACCATAGTTTCAAATGCCAAGGCGTTATCCACTAGACCACTTGGGCCACGAGAGCCGCCTTTTGTGCAACTCGTCAACATTCACCAATTAAATTCTAATTACATGCCCAGACATCGTCGAAGCATCTGCACAGGAAGCCGACATGTCAACCTGAGACCGAGCGCTTCGGTCCAATCAGTCGAATCGATCAAATTAATATGACGCGTTGCACAAGAGGTGGCTGTCGTGACCCAAGTGGTCTAGTGGATAACGTTTTGGCGTTTGAAACTATGGTCACTGAGTTCGAGCTTCGGTGGGAACATCATCACTCACTGGGGAATGCAGGGACATCTAGATGACGAGTCCAAAATAGGACGAAATGCGCATTGTCCTGGGTTCCATTGCTAGTCACCATCCACCAATTAAATTGTGCTAGTAGGTAGAAAACTTAAGTCTAAAAGAGCTACACCCACAGACTTACTCTTAGTATCAACTTTTATGTGAGTTATATTAAACTGTGACATTTCTGTGCAAATTTCTACGTTGTTTTGTCAACCAATCATCTAATTCGAAGGACTAATATAACTTTATTTAGTTGGTTGGTACAGCCGCCTAGAAAACGAATAAAAGTGTAATATACAATGAAAAAAAGTGCAGAGTAAAAGTGTAGGAAATAAGTTTACCTCCAGAAGTAATGGATTTTAAGACTTTACATTATATGGATTGATACTGTGATTGTAAAGACACCTTACAATAGTAACAATCTAAGCCAAAACCTTTTGAATAAAAGTGATCTGTCAGACTGCTGGTCTGCAGTTTTTCCTAGTAATAGATGTTAGGAACTTTGGTCCTTCAGTTCAATCTCCCAATGAAGCTGTACCTCATCATTCTTGTTGTTATGATTATTGGGTTTTTATTAAAAACACAAACTTGGTACATCATGCGCACCAAATGATGCGCCGCGGAAATTTTCGTAGTTTGTTTCGAGACTTCGATACTACGTAGATGCCCAGACCGAAGCAGGTGGTTGCCTTAAGGAGCTACTCCCAAGCTTTCAAGTCAGATTCACAAGGCAGTGGAGCAGCATTCCCATGATTGACGGCGACCCAAACAGATTCATACGCCATTCGATTCTTTTGGATCCGAAGGCCATTTTACACCGTTGGTTTGGAATCACGGTTTCCCACCTCCTCCAGATATAGACTTGCTTCTCCATCACTTCGGTTGTAAGCACCAGATTTTCGAATTCACCCTTTCACCTTTGTTAGGACTACCTCCGCCGTAACGTAAAGACAGTGAACCAGACTTACCTGGTGAAGGCTATGAAGGTGTAACCATATGAGAGCATGTCGAGAGGAAGACCAAAGTGTACCAATCCTTGGTGGTACCTTTTCGTTTATGGGTACCATTTAATTTTTAGCATAGTAATTCAAGTGTTTCAGCCTAACCAAATTTCGGGTGGTATTTTTTAGCTATTGTGCGTCGGAAGCACAGCGGTTAGGAGGCTCGCCGACCGCGCACATAGTCCGGGATTCGATCCCGGCCACCGATACACTCCTTTACGTTGCTAAGTCAGTAATAAAAAATGTTAAAGAGGAAAGGTTGGGCATGAGGCTAGCAACCCTATCCTGTAAAAATAAACACTGCTACAGAAACTTCAAGCCTTGAAGCCATTATAAAATAAACTTAGCTTATCATTTAATTCACGAACCGTTCATTACATTAATGCATATCAACAGACATAACTCTTTGAAAGTGAAGCATAATGATTAAAACTTTGCAAGAATGTGTATTTATAGTACAATTTCAAATTGAATATTGGTTATTTTTTAATGAAGTTCTCCCGAAGAATGTCTTCTTGAACAGTTGTTTATACATGAGCCTGCGGCTTATTAGTTCTACTAGTCAATTTCCAACAAATAGGTAGGTCACTGGTTTAAGTCACTCTCCACTCACTCGAGATTTAGGCAACCCGACGATTGCACGTGAATAATACTACAAGTGGTTGTTAAGTAACATTTAGATTTTTTGTAAAGCATGTAATTGTTTCTTTTACTCCCATTTTATCTGCTTCTTTTCTTCTTCTTGTACACTTTGTCTTAGAATGAACCTGAACCAGATCTACTGGAATTTTTTGATCCAAATCGTCATGTATATCAATCAGTCAACATACAGACTAAAAGTCTACCAAATTTACTGCCTACTTTACGTTGTGCTCCAGATGATTGTATCCAATTTCTACATGAAAATATTCTCTGTGATCATTATGCCAGTATGTTGTATGATGTTTAAATACACGAGGGAATGTTGTTGTTTTTAATGTATTTTCATTCTTTCGTTGTTGTTGTTGTTGCTACAGTTCTTTGAGCAGCTACCCCGGCTGAATCCAGTCTTTCTTATAGGTATACTTTTATTGTATATGTATATATATTGGATATCTTCAGTTGATTGTGTACATAGATTTTACATTTACAATTCAGTTAACTGAAATACAAATAAGATTACTTCGAAGTACTACTACCATTTTTTTCGCCTTATGCCTTTTTATGATTTTTTAGTCTTGATAAGTTTGTTTTTGTTTACTTTGAGAATACAAAAAGAAAACAAAATCCCATTTTAATCGTTAATTCATATTTAATGTTGCAGCAAATTAAAAATAGGAAATTTTATTTTATTTTTTTCAAAAACTGTACTAGAAAATATTGTCAAATAATGTTTCCGAATTTCATACATTTTAAAATGTAATTAGTATTTAAAATGGCTTATTTATTGACTTCGGTTATTCGGTACAGTCAAGGAGTCCCGGGGTTCGAGTCTTGTTGTACCTATTTCAGCCTGTGTATTATCAGTAGCCCGCATGTAATAAATAAGTGTATCTCATAGTCCAATACTGCGTAATTGTATTCTAGTTAAATTAACTGACTAATTAACTGAGTGTTATGCAGTTGAATGCTGATTCGTTAATAAGTGTCAAGATATATTTATAAAACAAAAAATATTCTTGATTTAAGGATAAAACTTCGGCACTGTGGTGGTAGATAGAGTATAACTCCACTATGGATAAAATCTTATTTTGATAAAATCACACAATGTTACACGTTTCCAGCACAAGTTATTGCTCAGAATCATATCAACTTTTTCCTTCATTTATGTGCATGTGTGGAATTGACTAGATGTTTGAATAAAAATCAATATAGGATAATGTACATTCAGAAAATAATCACCTGAGTGTTATTGATCAATTACAATCAGATGGGAAATAAGACGAGTATTTTTTATAGTCATAATAAGGTACTCGTTAGAATGTTATGATGTACGTGAATTGAATTGAAGTGGAATTTTGAGATTATTTATTATCCTCCTCTGATTTCACTGACTGACTGGTGGTAATAATATCTTCCATATTTCTGGTATTTGCATTGAGTCATTTCTGTTGCATGCGTTGCGTGTAGACTCGATGAAGAAAAAGAATTCAGTAATCAATCTCTCCCTCCACCTACATAGATTACTTCTTAGAATCTTAACCCTCTCCCCCACCCTATTGTGTGGTTGTGTGTTAATGCGTGAAGTGCAATTGCTGAGCTGCCTTCTAAATTACTCATCTTCTCGCTGTCAACCATTCTTACCTTAGCTGAATTCTTATGTTTTGACAATCTGACTACCCCGCCATCTACTAGTTTGACCTATATAGTTGACCTCACAATCATTTCAGGGTATTTTGTAAATTATATTATTTTGTCTAATTGGGTTTACCGTGTCTTTTATCCTACAGAGCTTATCCTAACTGAGTGAGTTTGTAGATTAGAATGCCACCCCGACCGAAAGCTGCTACCTTGACGTGGTGGTCGGGCTTGAACACCGCAATGACCTAATCAAGCTATACTGGCTGAGACTTATGTCTCTTGAGGTTCTACCATGCCAGGCAGGTTGTTTGGATAGCGGTTAAACAAAAAGCAGCTACCTCATCCAATACCATGATCCAAACAAATTCACAAAATTTCATGCCGGATCGGCCGTGGCCCGGATTAACAACGACCGCGCTTCCTGCTGCCGTGTCACAGGGCGGGAGTGATAAGTATGCTACTGAGGCACACAAACAAAAAGAACGAACAAAAACAGGCCGCGTGTGACCGGCCTCAAGCAGTTGTCCCCTGGGCTCTGCGGTCACGCAACCAACTTCCACGGTGTGGGCAGCCGGGAAGTAACAATCGCCCTCACAATCCGAAATGCACACAAAACCTCTCTAATCCTCACTTATCTTTGTCTTCATCTTCATCTCTATTACCTTGCCTTCCCCCACTGATGCAACTCCTCTACTTGATGGCTCCTCACTCCCTCTTCACTCTGTGTCCACTAAAAACGACGAAAGCCAAAAAACCACCACGGATAGTCTCCTAAAGCCACGCCACCAATTTCATATAGGAGCATTTAATGTTAGGACACTTTGCCAAATAGGACAACAAGCATCACTAGCTAAGACCCTGGCATCTCGAGCCATTGATGTATGTTGTGTTTCAGAAACACGCATACAAGACCCAAGTGTGGTTATTCACCTAACCCCACCTGGCCAACAGGATGAATCTTCAAAATTCACCTTGAGGGTGTCAGGAGATGCCACAGCTAGTTCACGAGGATTAGCTGGCGTAGGGATAGCTCTGAGTACTAGGGCAGAAAAGACATTGCTTGACTGGATCCCGTAGATAGCCGAATGTGTGCTGTCCGTCTGAACGGATCAGTAAGAAGGAGAAAGGACTGCACTACTCGCCGATGCCTTTTCGTAATCTCCGCCTACGCCCCCACTGACTGCAGTTCGGATGAAACGAAGGATGAGTTCTACCAAAAGCTGTCTAGTTTGGTGAGAAAGGCTAAACGCTCAGATATAGTCGTTCTAGCTGGTGACTTTAACGCTCAAGTAGGGAAATTGTGTCAATCTGAGAAGGATGTCGGTGGCACCTATGGAGTTCCGTGCCAGCGAACCGACAACGGTGACCGTCTCCTACAGTTCTGTTCAGATAATCATTTGTTTCTTGTAAGCACTAACTTTAAACACAAGGAGAGACACTGTTTAACCTGGCGACCCCCATCATCAAACCAACGCTGGACACAAATAGACCACATAGCAATAAGCTATCGTTGGCGTGGGTCGGTAGGAGATTGTCGCTCCTTCTGGAACACGTGTGTAGATACCGATCACGCACTGGTCCGGGCTCGTGTGTGCTTACGACTGAACGGACGTAGGAAACAGCTGGCGGTAAAACCATCACGTCCCCAGCTCGATCAGGAAACTAAATCCCTATTTGAGGAAGAACTAGCTAAACGCATATCTGAATCGACAGCTGTGCTCACCCTGGAGAAGCCTGGAAGAATATTCAGTCAGCTATAGATACAGCTGTAAAAGCTGTGAATAAGGAAATCCAAAGGTGAGTAAAAACCACTGGATTTCGACTGCCTCATCCGAACTGATAGATGCTAGAAGACTTATTCCGGCGAGCTCCGAATTCAATGAGGAGCGAAAGCTGCACAAAAGGAAACTTACTAAAAGTCTCCGCAAGGACCGTGAACAGTGGTGGGTGACAAAGGCGAAAGAGATGGAAAAAGCATTGGCGATAGGCAACACTAGGCAACTCTTTAGACTCATCACAGAATCGGGTGGGAGAAGGCAATTCATAAGTGAGACTATTTCTGAGAAAAATGGCTCCTTAATTAGCTCTCAGGATAGACGCCTTGAACGCTGGAAAGAACACTTTGAGGAACAATTTAACTTGCCTACAGCCACACTGAACCTCCCCGCCATCCACCACGTACCCGAATGGGATATAGACACTGGTCCGCCGTCTGTAGGTGAGGTTACAAAAGCTATCAGTAATTTGAAACGAGGCAAAGCGGCAGGACCCGACGGAATTATTCCGGAGGTGTTTAAATATGGGGGTGACATACTAGTTTGTAGATTAACTGAGGTACTAGGCAAAGTCTGGGAATCAGAGACAGTACCATCAGACTGGGGTAAGTCACTTATTATACCGATATTCAAGAAGGGAAACAAGTCCTCGTGTGATAATCATAGGGGGATCAGCCTAACGAACATAGTCTCTAAAATCCTAGGCTCAGTAATCATGCATAGACTAAGCAGAACTCGGGAGGAACAGACAAGGGAAAATCAAGCAGGCTTTAGACCAGGTAGAGGGTGCATAGATCATATCTTCACTCTTCGACAGATTCTAGAACATAGACACACTTTTCGGCGTCCAACAATTGTCATATTTCTTGACTTGAAGGCGGCCTTCGACTCCGTGGATCGAAAGGTACTATGGCAATGTCTGACTGTGAAGGGAGTGCCAAGAAAGTACATTGCACTAATCAAGGCACTCTATTCAAACTCACGTAGTCGTGTAAGGGCTTATGGGGAATTGTCATCTGAATTGGTAACAACCAGTGGTGTCCGACAGGGATGTCCACTTTCCCCATTTCTGTTTAACTTCATCATAGATATGCTAATGGAAGTATCCTTAACTGAACGTAGTGACTTAGGAATCGACTTGTTACCAGGGAATAATCTTATGGACTTAGAATATGCAGATGACATAGTCCTGTTAGGGGAGGATGCTGACAAAATGCAGAGTCTTCTGAACACCTTGAGCAGCAATCTTCGTATGTTTGGCATGCGATTCGCCCCTGCAAAATGTAAGATGCTGCTACAGGACTGGATCACGTCAACCCCTAACTTAGTGATAGGGAGTGAAGTGATAGAACATGTTGACCACTTCACCTACTTGGGAAGTTGTATTAGCACCAACGGACTGATTGGCGATGAAATCTCAGCACGGATCCGAAAAGCTCGAGCTGCTTTCGCTGACTTACACCATCTCTGGCGTAGGCGTGACATCCGGTTATCAACCAAGGGACGTGTGTACTGCTCATCAGTTCGCTCCGTCCTTCTCTATGGCTCTGAAACATGGCCAATACGCGTTGAAGACATGAAAAGGTTGACTGCTTTCGATCATAGATGTCTGCGATCTCTGTCTCACGTTAGGTGGTATAATAAGGTAAGTAATGTTGACGTTAGGCGTAGAGTGTTGGGCAAAGAGGGAAAATCAATCGACGAGGCTATAAAGTTACATAGACTAAGATGGCTAGGTCACGTGCTGCGCATGCCTAACCACCGCCTCCCCCGACGGGCATTGCTAGCTGATATAGGTTCAGGTTGGAAAAGAGCCAGTGGTGGCCAAACAAAAACATGGCATCAATCCATGAAATCCTTGACAGTTAAACTGAGTCAGGTAGGGAGATGCAGA